CCAGTGACGCCTGCACTAAAGAATGCCAGAGTCACTTTTAAAGTTGTAATGGTCTAAAAATTTAGCTTATATTCATTCTGGCAGAAAAAGATCCTTCTCATCCCCATACATGCAAACTTCCTAAAGTGTTTTGACTTTTATTCTATTCAAAATATCCTGATTGAGGAGTTCCACATTTATGCCATCTTGCTGCAAAGTGCCCTTTAAATACTGTAGGGTGGGAGAAGGGCTATCAAAGGACTAAACAAAGCCATTCCTTGTGATACAACTACAATAGAACAATTGACAATGAACCATTCATTATGGGAGTCTATATACATACTGGGTGTGTGGGGGGGGAGTGTTATAATTAAGAGTGGCTCCTGAACAGCTGCTCTCATTAAAATGCTGCAGCATCAAGTGTTTTTAGCGTTCCATGTTTTAAAATGGCTGCAGGGATGCTTTAAACTAAAGCTCATTTGTCTGGAGCACATTTATAGGCACATGTATTAAAGAAGGGGTAGCCATGCGTGCCACAGGTGGTGTGGGTAACATCTGTGAGTGATATGAAGCAGACTGGGGAGAGGACAGGCAGCACAGTGGCAGATATGGAAGGGAGCAGAAAGCAGAGCAGCAGATCAAGCAAGGAGCATAGGACAGGAATCATAGAGAAGTAGGGCTGGAAGAGACCTCCAAAGGTCATCATTCCAGTCCAGCCCCACCCTGCACAAGGCAGGATCATCCCTATCCAAACCATTCCATACAAACCATAACTTAAACTCTACATAAGACTACCATCATCCCTGACACAATACAGACCTAAGACCCTAACCTGCGACAGGTAAAGCAAAGGAGAAGAAAGCAGAGCAGCAAGCTGGGTAACAAAATACAGGGCAGGGAGCAGAGAGCAGATTGGGTAGGAGAAAGGGATCAATCGAAGCAGTACTTTGGGAAAGTGCAGGGCTAATTTGTGGCCTGCCTTCCAAAAAGGTTGCCCCCAACTATTTTAAATAATCATAGTTGAAAATTGCTGATCAGTCTGGATCAGTGGTGCTCAAAGTACAGCCCATGGGCTGGATCTGGCCTGTGGAGGGGTGTCATCTGGTCCATGTGCTCCCCGTAGGTCCGGAAATTAGGCAGCAGGGGAGAAGTGGCAGTATTAACTGCCACATTTCTGGGAGCCCCACGGCACCACTGCACATCACTCTCTGTTGCTAAATTCGTTGACCCACAAGGAGCCTCACAGGCTGGATAACAGCCTTGCATACATCCACTGGTCACCACATGGGGCCTGTCTGTGACCAGACCCAACACACAGGACCAGTCCATACACTGGAAAGGTTGTGCAACATTGATCTGGATAACTGGCCTGAAGTGCCTGTGCTGCTAGTTTATCTTTAGCCTAAAGATAGATGGATACTTGATAACTTGGTGGTAGAATTTAGGAAGGGGAAGAATCAGAAGGTTCAAGGTTTTGAGAGGGAATTAAAATGAAAGATTTCCTTGCTGGGTCACTACTACTGTTTGACTTCTTGTATTAACAGTGATCACATTATTTCGTCTGTTGAAACATACTCCTAATGTGATCTATCACATTATGAATGTTTTAAGTGGTGCCACATGAAGCAGTTGTAGTCACTCTGTTGCAAAGGCAAAAGCTCTTCCCCTACTTATAAGCAGTTTTCAACACTGTCTACTAAAAGTTCCTCAATGAAAGTGATTTCCTTCAAATTTTACATACAACATTACAAAGCACACAGCATTTCCATGCAAGCATGAATCATTAACTATTTTTGGCTCATTTTTGGCTTAGGACACCCTGAGGCAGCCTCTACATTAATCTCATTTTATTGACCTTGCTGCAAGAAGCACCTTTTAATACCATTTTGGCACAGAACAAAGAGCACAGTTAAAATGAAAGTGTAGAAATACAGCCAAACATCCCTCACTAGGCTGATTCTGAAAGGGGAGGTCTCTTCAGGATAGGAGAATGGTAAAAAGCAAAAAGGGAAGGGGATCTAGGAGTGGACATGGAGGGACAGGGACCAGAGACAGAAGGGCACCATGAAGCCATGCTTCCCATTGTCAGGGGAGTGAACAGAGAGAGGTGCATGGAAAGAAGGCAAGGAATCCCATGAGAGTGTTCACAGATGTGCAGAGTGGATTTTGGGAGAGAGCAGCAGATGAAGGATGGTGAGGCAGGGTAAGTTTTCCACATGAATAAATGCCTTTTCTTCTTTTCCACTGTGACCATCTTTATGTGGCTTGCATGTCTTAGGCACATACAATGAAAGCTCTGAAGGAAAGGAGCACTGTTTTGTTGGTCTTCCAAATCTGTCTCTGCAGAGATCTCCAATCCTACAAATATCATTCATCCACCCTACTTCAGCTTTTGGTGCTTACTAAAACAGAAAAACAAGCATGATCTTCAAATGACAAATACAGAGTTCCACTGTGAGCCTGTTAATTTCTGCAAAATAATTCTACCTCAAAAAACCTTCAAAATATAAAAATCTGGTAGCAAAAAGCCTACTGAAGTCATGATTATTTATGATGCAAAAGCACCCATGTCCCCAGTCTGCTAGAATTTGTACAAACTTAGAATGAGACACAAATTAAAACTCATTTCATATATTCCCTTTGCTTATTGCCATCTAAAAATCATACCACCCATCAAGACACGCTTCAGTTTGGATAAACATACAAAGTTAAGAGCATATTACTAGGATTAAAAAAAAAATCCATGACAAGAGATCTACCTTTGCTATGTTAAAGCTCTACCATGTATAACATTATTGCCCTTTCTTTTTGTTTTTTAAAGCTGTACAATGGTAACAACCATTGCAGATAGTTGTAATGGTTAACAAGGTCTCACACATTAAGACGCCTGATATGAACTCATTCAATAATCCCATGCTTCCTCTTGTTAACATGCCTTCTGCCCATGTTTCAGAGAAAAAATAAATCGTTCCAATCAACAACACACACCAGCAGAAAATTTAAGACTTCTGACATATGTTAACTTACCCTTGGACATGGTTAGTTGAAATCTTTACTTCCAATTAAATAGAGTATTTCTTCTATATATACAGAATATTTTGTTTTTATTTCAGAACACAGCAGGGGTGCATAGTTTAGGTTGAACAAAGAGATGGAATTTGTCAGGAGTGATAGTAATTGAAGGAAGAATACATGGTATGACTTTTATTTGGTTGGTTCTAGAGGTACAACCATCTTCGTGGTATGTTTTTACCACGGTATGCCAAGCAGGTTAAGGCCCCAGTCCGGGTTAAGGCCCCTGGACAGCATAAGGACCAAGTAATTATGAGTGAAGTGACTGCATCCCTTTACTGTTTGTTTCTAGACATTCGTATTTTGAGGTGTTTGCTTTTGTAGAATTATTCTTTGGGAGTTATAATACATTTGCCTGGGGTTAAATGGATCCTGTTGATACATGCTTTTAATTTTAACTCATTCCTAATCATTTTTTGTTTATGAACTGAACATTTTAATTAAGATATTAGGCACAGATGAGCCTTTCATTAACACCAGTCTATTTGCATTGATCAACTGCTTTATCGTCCGTCTTATCATATTGGAGTGCCTCTGTCTGTAGCAATCAGTGTAAAGGAACCTGTTCTTCATCCACTGATGGCTTGGAAGATACAACATAACTTTTGTGATTTCAGTGACAAAGAGCAACTTTTAGTATTCACTGCTCTTTGAAAACAATAATGTTGCTTTCTTTATATGGGAGATGATCTTCATCTTGACATACAACAATCCAGACTGCTCAGTAGCATAAGGAAATGCAAAAGTTACAATTTACCAGGTAGTGAATATTTACCAGGCAGTATCAGCTATGATAAATGGCTGAAGTAATCCTTAATTTCCCCCTATAGCCAGGCAGGGCTTGTCTATTATCCACAGGCTCAAGCTGCCTCCTTGTGGCAGAGTATCAAATATGCCAGACATTGCACTTTGACTTTTTTGTGTCCACACATAACCAGTGTGTGGTGATGGGTTCTGGAAGTTTTACAAGCAGACTTCACACACCAGTTCTGCGTTGCAAAGGGAGAAACAAAGGGAGAAAACAAAACAAAACAAAACAAAACAAAAAAGGACCAAAATCATAGCAGGGTCCTTATTACAAGCATTCACCAAGAACACACATGAAAGTACAAAGGCTAAATATATATATACATATACACACACACACACATATATATACATACATATATATATACATATATATACATATATATACACACATATATATATATACACACACATATACACACACACGCATATATATTTATATGTAAAAATTACTCTCTCAAATGTTTATTACACAATGAAAGACTAATTGGTAAATTCACATCTTGAACTTGATCAAAGGGGACTGATCATTTCTTTTTCAAGCCTGTTAGGGCCTTGTTACATAGTAATTTTGGGCAGCTCCCAGAGCGCTTAACCCCTGCATACATTGACACCTTAAGTGGTTTTAAGCAGTTATGTGGCTCAAAGTTAAGCCACTGCAGGGCAGGACTATCTCTGATCTGTACTACCCAGCTCCTGTTCCATTAAGGTGTGGCCAGTTCCCATAGATGTGCCGCCCAAGCCGAAATCCTCCACTATCCCAGGATCTCTTACACCCCTGCTGGTAGAGCAGGGATAGAAGCCTGTCCTGGCTCACTAGCCCCCTAGTGGTAACTCACAGCTACAGCTCCTAGTCCTACCCCTGCCTCTACTCGCAAGTCAAAGCTGTGCAGGTGGGGGACAATCAGAGATGATTTCTAGACTAAGGATATGATTGCTCCAAACTCCAAGCTAGCACTAACACCAGTCAATATTTGTGCGGCTCACAGCATAAGGTATAACAAGGCCCCTAGCTAAAAGCCATATTAAAGCAGCTTTGAAAAAAATTACATAAAATTTCACAACATGGTTTCGGTTCATTGCTGGTTTGCTTTTATCTTTACTAGAAGACCTTAAAAGTCTCCTTAACATTTGATTGGCTATTTGATTCAAGTAACACTGACACTGTTGTTAAAGGCCAAGGATTTTCCATCACCAGAATGGAAACAGTTTGTGAAATTAAGGTACATTTTCTTCCACATCATACCTTCCCCCCACCCAGCCCCAAACCCCACCTACTTTATCAAATGCTCTGGTAGATACATGATTTAAAGAAGAATAAAACAAGACAATTATCACTTTGCTCATTCATGTCTTAACATTACAGTCTCTACAAGGTGACTACCAGTGAATCCCAGCACACTGTCAATATCATCTCCATACCCTCCAGACTGGAAAGAAATGTATGTTTTATGGCTGAAGGGGTGTTGTAAGCTTTAGAGTCACATTAACCATTTGTGATTTCTCCACATTTTTGTGTCAGGTCTATTGTGATGCTCCTGCTGAATCCAGAAGCATTACTACATTAAACATACCATCACAATGGAGTGCAGAATTTAGGGCAAGACTCGCTGCAATGTTTAGAGAATGTGCAGGGATCTCAGGACTCAATTGCTGCAAGGGTGCTCTGCCAATCTTAGTTTACATTTCATTGTATAAACATTTCCCCACTTCTATTTGGTCTCCACAGAACAATTCTGTTAAAAGTTCCCCATAGATTTTGCTCACTCTCCCAGTCCTATTCATTTCAGAGCATTTTCCAAGTATAAATTAGTAGCTGTACATCTGTTGCTGCTGCTCTGTTTGAACTTGCTGTTGTCCTGACTGCTGTTGTGTTTGCTGTGACTGGGGCTGCAGGACATCAGACTGAGGTACTGCCCTCCATGTCAAGGGATGCTGCTCTGTTATCTGGTTCCCTAGAGGAGCAATGGAGTTCACCAAGGTGGTCAGGTTTATAAAATGGGCCACAGACTGAGGATTGGCTGCCTCTGTCTGTGGCTGGATCTGAATATCGTTTTGGCGATTGTGAAGCATGGCAGAACCACTGACAGTATCAAATGTCACAGTAAGAATTGAATTGTCAAGCTGTAACTGTCGTTCAGGTGCAGTCAGGTGGCCAACAGCCACTGGCTGAAGGTTCGTAAATTGGGTTCCAGCTGCTGTGGTAATGGGAGTGACAGTGATATTTGTCAACCCAACAGAGCTGGAAGGGGCTGTGACGTTTGGGTCGCCAAGGGTCACCACCACCTAAGGAAGAAAAACAGAAAATAAAACCTAACCCTTATGATTTCAGACAATCTGTAAAATAACTAGCAACAGGAAGGACTAGGTGAATGCTGCCCATTTTGATGCTTTTACTGCTAACTATAGAGGGAGATATGACTGCTGCTACAAATGGAAGAAGGCAATGAAAAAGACAGACATATAATATAATATTCAAAAAGATTTCCTTAATTAATTTCAAGTTTGTAGTTCCAACAAATTGGTGGCATGCAGCAGACTAAGTAGTGGCAGCAGAGGGGCTGAAATGAAGGTGAGGATTTTAGTGGAAAGGGCGGGATTAAACAGACTCCTCATTCTTCTGAACTTTCTATTCTTCTTTTTATTGCAGTTTCCTACCATCATCTTTAAATGCTCAGCTCATGCAAGTCTGTCAGGATTCCAGGAGCCCTGACGCTTGGAGCAATGTCTCCAGTCTATAAACTTTCCAGTGGAACTCACCTGCTGAATGCTTTGTACAGCTGAGTTGGTTTCATCTCCAACATTCCCTGTGAATTCTGCTTCTTTTTCTGTGTATTCACTGAAGGCAGGGTCCTCAGGCACTTGTGTTTCCTCCTCTTCGCCTGCTTTTTGCTTTCGCTTCTGGCCACGTTTAGGAGCTTTCATAAGCTGCTTACCTTCTGGTAACTCTCCCTGTTCCAGGGCTAGCTCTGGCTGCAGAAATAGAGAGTTTTCAGCATGACAAAAAAGCCCTTGCTCAAGCAGTTTAGCTATGCAAAGATCTGAATGAGAGGCTATCCTCCAATGCAGGTTTACTGTCTACCCTCAGATGAAGACAACAATATATTAAAAAGGCCAGATTTGAAAGAATGGTCTCACAACCTAGGATTAACTCTGTTATATAGTACTACTCCCACTAAACAGCCTATTATTGCCTTTGTTTTAGGCATGGGTTTATATTAGAATTGGTCTCTCTCTTCCTGCCCTGATTTTTACATTCATTCTGCATTTGTTTTTCACTCTTGTCCACTCTGTCCCCGAGTATCCTCTTTTGCTCTCTCCTTTG